GAGAGAGAGAGAGAGAGACAAGCACAATGTACATATATTGCGCAAATATATGCGTCGTCGGGCGACATTCGTGTAACGCGGACGGCGAATATGTACCGCGGCGGTGGCGGCGGGGCGAGAGGATACGCGGCGTGGTAACGGCGAGCAAACGAGAAACGGAGAAATGCGATTAAGCGACAGTAGTCGGCGGTACAATGCGCGTTCCGATCTCGACGATTGCCATGGCGCGGCTTCTCTATATCAACGACCAATGTTGCCTCCAATTGTCGATCCTATGCAAATTTCGCTCCCGGAGTCCAGCATCGCACGGTCATCTCGAGAGTCGCGCTTGTCGGTCGATCGCGTCGGAATAACGACGTAAGTGGCATCCAGTCTCGGGAACGTTACGCGACGAATCCGTGAAACCGACACGTTAGCTAATCGAGCAGGCGTAATTTAAAGGGGCGTAAAAAATTTAAAGGGGCCATCTCGGAGATTTCTTTCAGACTTGGTTCACACTCGTCTTTGATAAATTTGAGCTCGTATATTTTTTAAGGGTTATTGATTAATTTAACGCGGATTCAAAAAAATCAAGTCCCGCGGGAACTCTCTCTCAAATTTGAAGCCACGGTCGTCGTTATATATTGTCGTATACACGTACAGCGAATGGAGAGTCAAGTAATATAGGCGTGCTGTTTCTCATCTCGCCGTAATATAGCCGTCCCACTTTCATTCGCATTTCCTCGCAACAGAGACACAACAATTTTCTTGGCAGTCGTGCAAACGACAGGATAAGTGGGTTAAGCCTCTAAAGCGATGACATAGCGGCAGTGAGATTGGTCGATGCGCGAAGGAAGTGTACGGTATTTGTATAACATAGGTGTATGTGGTGTATTTTATATATATGTGTATATATATATATATACAAATAATACCTAGGCGAACGCCACTTCGCGTTAAGATGTCGCCACCCCGAGCCGGGACTGCCGTACTGCAACAGATACCCGAAACACTGTCATCATATGCATTTAGCAACTGAGAAAGGAAAAAGAAAACAAGTACTCTACCGTTCTGATTCATGCCGGTAAAGAGTACGCAGAAAAACAAAAACGAACGTGTCGCTCGATCTGCACGAGAGGGAAACGGAAAGAATGATTTGACTAAAATATTTAAAAATTTGAGCAGACATAAATTTGAAAATAATTTTGATTTAAAATTATAATATAGAACGCTTAAGGGTGACGATAATACCGTAAACACTTTTTTATATTCTAATAATCAATTTGACTCCCACATAAATATTTTGATGGTTCCACAAAATTATTTTCTGGTCTGTATTTGGCCAAATTTTTAAATTCTTCAGCAAAAGTGTTCTTTCCGCGCAGAGCGGGAAATGCGATTTTTCCTTGACCATTTTCTCTCGGTTCCTTTTTATTTTTTTGTTACTGCGCTAAATTTCATGGACTTATCCTCTCGTGTCGCTTTTCCAAGAGGACGTCCCGTAATCTCCGTAAAACGATCGTCGGACGATTTTCAGAGCTGACTCGCGAAGAACGATAGCACGCGATCGATCGCTATCGTTACCGGACGAAGGGCACATTACTTGATTTGAAAGGACTCTTCGGAAAAACATGCGGCCGTAAAATAGTAATCCCGCCGCACGGCAGGAATAATTCAACGGAAACGTGGAACACCCACGCGGATTACCGAGCGAGCGTCGCTTTTTAATTGTCTCCCGACCTCGGCAAATTGTTTCGAACGAAGATTCTATCATCGGCATCGCAATTTCCTTTTTACGCCGCGCGTGATTAAAACGAATGTCGATTTTATCAGTTTTCGCCGTTATCAAATCAAGACCTCGACCCGAACGTATTGAAATCCTTCCTCGAAAATTGTCTATTTTTTTTTATAACGGAAAACTTTTATTTTCGCTGCATCGCGCGCGAATCACGCTTCGATTTAGCGCAGTAACAATGGCGATGATGATAATTGGATAAGAAAAAAAAAAAAAAGTAATCACATGTCTTTCTGCTAATTTTCGCGCACTTCCCGCATTTCGCGTCTTGATCGAGTGACGTGGCATGCCTCGAAATGCATGCAACACGCATCAGAGCTGCTCTCTCGCATCGACATTAAGAGCCCTCGAGTTGACGTAGACCGCGATCCATATCCCGCGGAAAACTTCCGCGATTTATCCTTTTGCCGGCCGGATCGTTTTCCCGGCGATTCGTAATTATTCTCGCGTGTCCCGCAATATCGGGCGAAAATTTAAAAGCTCCAATAATTTATCGGTGGCGAGGACGTAAAGCGCTCTCGTCCCGATTGCGTTCCATTAAATTTTTTGCTCGGCGTGCCTTTACAGGGGGGACAACAAAAGACCCGTGGCATCTAAAGATTCAATATGCATTTACGAACGTAACAACGACAGATTCGCGCGCGGAAATGCGAAGAGCAGCTCAATGGCGAGTCGTAAATTTTATGGCTCTGATTAGTGGAAAAAAAATTCTCTCATGAAACTGGCAAACAACGCGTACGCAACGCAATGTTGTTATTAATCATCAGACAGATGCAAGAGTGATTAATTTAACTGCACACAAATTTTCCTCAGACTTCATTTTCCAGAGGAATTCCTTTTAGTCTACGCTGTGGATGGAAAAAAAACGCAGCGAGTAAAAACTGGCGAGAAGAAATCTTTTAGAAAAGTCAAAGCTTTATCAATGTTAACATGCTTCGTTTCCGCGGTAAAATAGCGAGACGAATAACGCGAATACGCGAGTAATATCCGCGAAAATTCTCTCATCGAGAATTTCTAAATAATCGATAAACGCGGTTTAAATAAAAACCGTAAAAAATTATTGCAATTGTTCCCGCGCTGTTAAATCTTCGGATTCCGATAATCCGCACCGGCTAGCTGAAGGACATTCGATTCGAGCGTAAAGCGAAAAGTGATATGAAACAAATATGCGTTTTCTTGTTTTTCGCGTGAATTTGCAGAACAGCGAAGCAACGTAAAGCAACGAGCACTCTGTGCCTTAATTAAAAGCCCGTAAAACCTATAAAGCTCGGCGCGTAATTAACCGCAGTTATTTACACATTTATTCTAGTTTCGGATGCGACGCGATCTCTAAAGGGACGATTTACGAGCGAGATCTTTCCGTCACGGTATAAATCCCGCGTGCGTAACCCGCTCCCATCGACAATTAACATTTCATGGTACGCGGGAGCGCACCGCGCGCGGGATATTATTTTAAAAGACCGCGCAATCCGCGGATAAATATTAGCAATTTCGCGCCGGGTGCGCGAACGTTCGCGGACTCATTAACGCGGCCCGCGTCGTTAATCCCCGATGAAAGTGGAGTGGATTGTCCTCCTCCCTCGCGGAGTTCCCGCGATTTGCATTTTAAAAATAACGCGACCGCGCGCTACGCGCGACGGTTTTGTCACCCGTTATGACACCCGGCGCCGCGATCTGCATTAGCACCTCATAAAATCTCGCGCGTGATAAAACCCGATAATTCACGCGCAACTCGAAACTAGAGCCCGGAGCTAGTTAAATTCTAAATCCGCAGGAAGATTTACCGCAGGAAGAAATCCCGCAAGAGAATTCAGAGAAAACAGTTCCGATAATTCCGCGAAATAATGACGATCGATATGTATTTCGAGAATATACCAATCTCAGGATTCTAAACTCGGATAAGAGAAAAGTAGCTTCAAGAGACTAAGAAACTAATTACACGGGACTTTCGAGATTTCAGAAAAATTTAAAAATCTCACGGTTGCCAAGTTTGCTCGCGTGTTTTCATAAAGGTACCGCCAACCGTACTTTTTTTACGGAATGTTAATTATTTTATTAGGAGAGGAAAGAAAAGAAAGAATTCGTTCGCAGAAAAGGCTCGATTCTTCGGCTAGATTCTTTAGTTAGTCGGACTCTCCGCAAAATGAGCGTACGTAATTGAACGATACTACTCGCAAAAAAAAAAATATCTCCGGCGCGAATAGATCTCGGGCGCGATTCACTCACGGTATAAGACGTCAGTCAGCTTCGGTTGTACCAACGTCGGCGCGTGTTAAGCTGTCTTCCAGCTGACGGGCTAATGCCGACAGGACGTCACGCGAGGCGAATAAAGCTCCTAGGAACAGGTTGGCTCCTGTGGAAATTAACGCGTCACGACTTCATCGAGTTTGACAGGATGCGTCTAAACCTCATTGCATCGCCGTCGAGGAATGGTGTTGCCGCGGTAATAATGTGATGTGATGCTGCGCGTGAATCGAAACCGCCGCGATGCTCGAGAACATTTTACGTCGCGTCGCGACAGTTATTATCCGCAACGAAACGTAATTATTTCCGCGAAGAATTAGATCGCTAAAAAAATCCTCTGTCTAATTTTTATCTCAGAATCAGAAGCGAAATGAGACGTGTCTGCGTACGGTGAGCCAGATAGGTGAGCGTGACTTCTCAAAATGAGAGACCGAATCTACTGGGAAATAGAGTCCTACGAAGAAAATAACGCGATATATGGAAATACGAGACGCATCCCACTGTTCGCGCTTTTCGTCCGACGTACGACCCGACCCGGGTGTTCCGTTCGCGGGCGCGTTTGACAGCAACCCCCACGCCTTTCCCCTGGCGCTCGTCCTCGCGCTCCAAAAAGCCGTGTTAGTGAAGCTGTAAGAGAGTAGCGTTTGGCGTTAGTTAAACCTTCCCCCGCGAGGGAAAGGATGCAGCTCATTCTGCTGACGGTCTACCACACACAACGGGTAGCTACCTTTCATTGAATCAAGGCAGGTTTCCTGTGGTTCATGTTAAAGAATCGGAACTGTAGCCGCAGCGTTAGATCTTTCCGTACTGTTGGGAAAGAATAGGTGTCGTAAGTGATTACACATCCATATATCGCCAGCTTGGATGATTCGCTTCGATGATAAACGTCGTTTCGCGATAAAAGAGACTACGCGGCACTCGACCGGCAAGATAAGATCCCGATCATCGACGAGTATCAATTATGCGTAATTAATCTTTAAGCGACGCTAATAATCAGAAATACGAGTAGCAATACATAGAAGCTTCTAGAAGACGAAGTGACAGGCGTTATTCAAAATATCGAAGCTCGACGTGTATGACGTTTTCATCAGTCTTGCAAGTCGATATGGACCGCTGCAACTCGATATCGCGACATCAGCACCGTCTGACATAAAAGGGGACGCGAGCGCGTCGTGACGAACATCTACATGTGCAGCAAATAAATATAAAGGGAGGGACTGGCGAATATGACATATAGAATGGAGATGAAAAAGAACTGACGGTCGTGTCTGCAAAATACAATCTCGTCAAGGTGCGCTGGGCTTGAATCATAAAGGCTAGACCCTTGTCATTCATACGTCGTATGTATTGTAGTATATGAAAGTGTTAGAAGTGAGAAAGTCGAAGTTGAGAAGAAGCAGGGTGCAAAAGAGAGAATAGGATAGGAGGAGGGAGCAAGTGATGCCGACAATGCAAAAATGAAATCGTGCGAGGGACCCGCGAGGGATGAATGTTAGTTACGTGTATCGTTCAATTCAGTTTTTCGATTACTATTGGAAAACAAATCAAATCGTTGCACTGAACGATTAGATAAACTCGGGAGACAATGATTGTTATCTTTTTTTTTTTTTCGAGAAAAAAAGTTTTAGATCACAAAGGGCGCATAAACCGTAAAACAATAAACGGTTTTCTTTTCTGATAAATAATGATAAAATAAGTTTAATGATAAAATAAACAAGATGCATTTGGAATCATCGCGATAACTAAGAATACCCGATTTCAAACTGATTCATTCACTGAGTGCATTCCTTTGCACTCATTAAAAAATATTAAATAATGTTAAATCTATAGGAGAATCGAAGTTCCTCAGGACGTAGCATTCCACAAAATATTTTAAAGTTAAACATTAACGTTATGGAGAAGAGTGCAAAAGGATAATTAAAATATTAAAGACAAATTGTCAAGTCGTGGGGAAAGACGAGCTCATTTTTTACAAGAAAGCTACTCACTGCGCTGCAACAGCGCTACGCTCTATTTTTTAAGTCATCAGCAGGAAGAACGGTGAAGGTTGCGGGACCAGCAGCGATCGCTACAAGCTTAGCTCGTTCCATGGGTTCCATACGACAAACTAGCCGGATAAATAAATCGATTAAAATCAATAATAATCAAAATCGTTCGCTCGAATTGGGATTGAATTAGGGAATTGAATTTTCAGAAATTCAACAGAATAACGCGCGGAGTAAAAGGGGAAGTTCGTAATTCTTATAAAAATTTTTGTTATCTTGACGGATTCTGGAATTTATAGAAAAAAATCTACAAGGATGTATCTTTGCGAAATAAATCTATGATCCATGCTGTAAAGGAGAGAATGGGAAGATGCACTTTTGAAAGATTGGGATGTTAGAGAAATTATATGAGAGAATTTATATATAATTAAAACGTAATATTTCATTTGGAAATTAAATTGATTTTTACCCAATAATGTAGATACCGTTAATGATAACTTACAATACCAATACTTGGCAATAAGCCAGCATGGTAAATTATCAGCAATTTAAGCGAATTAATCAGTGAAAGCATCTTGAATACTTCGTCTTGTTAAATAATCAAGATCATAAAAAAACTGTACTATTAAACAAGCGCGAATCCGATCATTAATCAAATTAAAAGCGTTCAGTTGATGATGTAAAAATCGGTCTGTGGATCCGTACCAAATCAAACTATCCTATCTTCGTTTCTTTATGTTTCGCTGAAAATTGAAAACAGACACATCATTGTCTGATAATTGCGTTGTTTACAAATATCTTTATCTGTGCATCTTTAATAAAAATGGATAGAGATAAAACAGATAAAACAGATGTTGGAAACTAACAAAAGAAACCAGATGATAAAGACAGAGATTTCAAAATATGATATGGAAAGCTGTATTATTTGAGGAGAAACAGTATTTTTCAAATAAAATTGAAACTTTTAGCTTCTATATTGCATCGTAAATTTTTTGTGTATTTTAAATAATTGTAAAATTGTAAGAATTTGAAAAATACTGTTTGAAAAATACTGAAATGAGGAAATTCTAAATTCTTTTGCACAAAAATGAGCCAGGGTCTCATAATTACCTCTATATGTGTCACTAACTAGAAAAATAATAAATGAATACAGCGGGATAGATGGATGAATGATGAAATGTGCTACGATAAAGCGCTACATGAGACTACGAAGCAGATTCGGAAAAGTTAGAAGCATTTCGTCACGTGGTCTCCATAGTCCCCCATACAATTGCTCCCATCTAAACGGAAAATAGTATAATAGTACAATTATCATTATAGTAGAGACAATGATATCTACGTATTGCATTCGTGAAACGCATCATTGCACTGCTAACATAATTTACGACACCTGTTCAAGATTATTGCGCGCTGACCTGTGAAAGGAGCATTGTATTTACCGATGCTAAAGTGTTTTGTAAAATCAATTATTTTAATCTTTTAAGCGTGTAGATATTTCTGGAATTCCTATTAAAATATTTCTTCTATGACTCGCGCTAAAATGTCTTTAGAATTTACATCTTGCAACTATTTACGTAATCATAATTGTCATAAATGACTATGTAAACTAAATTAACACTAATTATATTCTATCGATAACTATTCTTAGAAATGACATCTTTTCTATTTCTAAGAATGATCGTAGAAATAATTTTTTATTTCATAAGCTACCTGAACTACATAAATAGTATTAATCATATCGTCATGATATCATGTGATGATTATGTACTTACTCCTATCGATGTTGCGTTGCAGATGCGCAGCTACGCGATGTCTAGCGTCATTGAACTCAAGATGTAATCCGAGTCGCAACAACGTCGGGTTTTGTTCAACCAATTGTGTAATTTCCATCTCAATCTTGTTACCCAATACTTGTGACCTCTGCAAAATGATAGGAAGAAATCTTACTACTCTTGTATGTGTAACGATCATTTTTCATAATTTTATATAATTACCTGATTCGAACATCGGAATTCTTCGATGGACTTTGTCTTAAGAAGGGATCTGATCAACCTTACTATCACAGGCGGGCTTATAAAGTTTGTCTCCACGCTGAAAAATAAGAGTTTCATTTTTATTAAAATAATGAGAAATTAGCAGCAAAATTTATGTGTAAAAACATAGAACTTTATGCATACTTGAGTACTCTGAGTGTCGAATTCTTTTCTAGAGCATCGGCCAGCCGTTGTGCGGTCTTATCGTTGAGTCCAACGTTAGTTAAACTTAACGATTCGAGATGTGTGTTCATTTCTAATCCTTCGAACAACTGAATGAATTTCTCGTCCGAAATATTCTGTAACAAGACATTGTTATACATGTATTATTAGTATGAAACTCTCTTCGTATGTCGCTCTCTTCGCGTGTTATCAAAAATATTTACTTTAATATTGTTCCAATTTAACTCAGTTAGAGACGAATCGTCATCCCGCACTTGCTTAATGGTAGCATCAACATCCGTATCATTAGGCGGTTCCATCGGATAAACTTTCGGTTGACTAGCTTTCGTCACTCCGTCCCAACCGAGACCGACTGGCTGCCCAGAATTCAATAAAGATGCGTGATACTGATCTTGATTCATCATGGAATGGAATCCAAGAATAGCTAGAAGCAGAAGACAGTTTCAATTGCTTATCTTTCAACTCTAATACAATAAACTTTTAATAAAAATCAATTCTCTTACCAGCAAGATCAATGATTTCTTCTTGAGTGGCGGCCGAAAGTGCTTGTTCATATTCTTCCCCGAGATCTATCGCGATTTGTTCCTCCGCCTCTTTTTCCTTTGTGTTTTCTTGTGGCGGAGGTACCCACTGAAACAGATATAATGCATATTAATTAATTTTAATAGAAAAAATAAGACAGACATTTTTGATCATGGCTGGATCTTGATGTCTAATAATATATTAATATATATATATATATATATATATATATATATATATATATGAATTTAATGGGCTTTGTTTCTGTTACAAACTATGTATTATTAACTTTTTAACATGCTTGTAATAAAGATAGCCAAAACTAAGACTAATATTTCATGTGTGATACAAAAATTTTGTGAAAATATCAACTGGATATAGAGAATTTCTGTAGATTCACAATCAACTATCCTATAACCAATATATGCTTTTAAAAACTTTTATTATACAATACATTAAATATCAATCTAAAGCTATCATCCCTTCTTATTATTTTACTAATTCGTTTATTCAACTACTTACTTTTTTGCCTCTAATTACACCAGGTACATATGGTTTCAATTCTGGAATATCAGGTGTCTCTAGAGCTTGTTTATTGATGTGCTCAATAAGTTTCTTCCGATTCAATGGCCCCGTAGGACTTTTGTTGCATTCATAACTGCAACGTTGAGAAGGTGGCATAAAGCTGTCCTATAAAAACGCAATGTATATTCAGTATTCCAAGAAATAATGATATACAAAATTATTTTTAATAATAAGATTTTTAATAATAAAACAGACTTACATCAGGATCCACTTCCTTGGCTAATATATTAAGCTCCTCTGGCGTAAGCTCTGCCAACAGTTTATCCACGTCAATGTCATCATACTCGCTCAGGTCCTTGCCATACAGCTTGGCCGCTGTCGTCATGGTGGTTTTTTTGGTCGACGAGGAAGTCTGTAAATCGTTCCATGGTGTTTGATCAACAACCGAGTGTTTCCTCGACATTTTTCGCAAAATTTCAAGCCAATTTCCGGTAATTCGCTTGTCCGCGCGCGAATGTATACGCGTGCCTCGGTATCTTATAGTCTACAATCATGCAGCTGCGATAATTGCTACGTTCGAGGCTATGTAATCGCGTGTGAGCCGCGAAAGAGATGCTTCCGCAGCGATAGCGATCTCGCCAGCGCGAAGGGAGGGAAGAGTCGATCGGTGCTAGCGACGTCCCGAGCTAATTATCGCGGCGCCCGTCGGCCGGCCCGGATCAATTATTCAAAGGGCGCACTGGTCATACACGGCCGCGAAAGGCCGTCGACACCCGGGCCGCGCCCGCACCGCGAGATGCCGACTCCGCGGCACCGCGCGACCGACTTCTCTTTATCGCGGAGGCGTTTATCGTCAGAGCGCGATGCCGGCCGTACGATCGCGATCGACTGATCCGATCGCGTCGACGTGCGCCGCGTTTAAATTCGGCGAACGTCCAGCGGCTGATGCCCTCTGACCCAGATAATTCGGGATCGATTTTCATTGACAAGTCGCGTGCCAAATTGGCGGCGGCGACGATCTCGCTTCGGTCGGACATCACCATTGTCGCCGCCGCAACCGCCGCCGCCACCGCCGCCCGATTGACGGACGAATGGACTCCTCTTTGGAACTTACTCGGTGACGCGTCGCGGTGTCACCGGGGATGGACGTCCTGTCACTCGAATGAGAGAAACGAAAAATTCGAGAGCCCACTCTGGAACGTTCGCTCCGGACAATCCGCACGATCCTCACACACACACACACACACACAAAATCCTATACTCCACAATGCACGGACGCGCGTACGCTCACTGACCAGCCCACTAGATCGCGGCAGCGCCCTTTAACGTTGACAACGCGATTGCGCGATAGTGGAATCGATCCTGCACTCGGTAACTTGTCCAGATTTTAGAAATCCACGAACGATGCGTGCCGATTGTTATCCCCCGTTTAAGAGGATACCGAAGATATAAACAAGAGATTACGGTCCCCTCCCGATGCAGTTATCGAAATGGATGCGATTTTAATTGTGTGTGTTGCTTGGACATTTGCACTATACACGCGATGCTGGAAACTGTTACGATGAATGGAGTATATGTCGAGCGAAAGCGGGAAATTTAAAGCGACATCGTGACGAGTCGCATTGCACGAATGATGATAGACGATAGATTACAGGAAAAATATTGATTGAAATTGATAATGTTTAACATAACCAAAGAACAAGGACAAACATAGATATTATTTGTGATAATTATTATTTTACAATTTAATTAACGTGTACTTAAAATTGTAAATAGCAATTTTTTTCTTATATTTTCTTATTATATTGCGTGTGGATTTTTCAAAATCCTTAATTTTCCCATTTTAAAATGCCAAATTCTTAAAATCATAATTTTTTATAATTTGGAAATTTTTAGAAAATTATTGAAATTTTAAATAGCGCAATTTCTTTGTTGATTATATTCTTCTGACCGATGATTTATCAAGACTCTTGATTTTCATAATAGTGCCAAGTTCTTCGTAATTCTTAGAATTCTTGGAAAACGTTGGAATTTTAAATAATGCAACCTTCTTGTTCAATATATGACATTAGATAGACTTTTATAAACTTTTATAAATTTTTATAAACTTTTATAAATTATTAAAATTTTTATAAACCTTTTTTAAATTATTGCCTTGACTTTTATAAACTTTTATAAATTTCTATAAACTTTTATAAACTTTTTTAAATTAACTTTTGCCTTGAAATTCGACCACAATTGCGATTCTTAGAAATTTTTTGCAACTACATTCAACTGTATTATTAATTAAAATTACACTCGTCTAAATAATATTTTAAAATAATATTTTAAAATTATTATTATAAAACATTTTAAATCTAATGTGAGCTGTAATTTATAAACTATTGACTAACTGAATTTAATTATTAAAATAATATTAAAATTAAATTATTAAAATAATATTTTAAAACTATTATAAATTATTTTATAATATGTCTTCAAGATAAGACATAAATAAACCAATATAAAACAAAAACAAACCACTTAATATTATATAGTTTTTTAATAGTTCGACAAGGAATTTGTGAAATTTTAAAATGTTTTCTGTAAATATATATTAGATATAATATGTATGAAAATTATAACAATTATATCGAGTAATTTATTTTTAAATTTTCTGTATTTGCAAGTATCATTTTTTTCCCTAAATGAACTGTTGTTGAAATTCGAACATAGTTACAATTCTTAGAATTACATTACAATTATATATGCAATTATATATACAATTATACTATATTAAACTGCATTGACGAAAATTATATTTATCTAAAGCTAAATTAAAATGACATTTTAAAAGCATTATTAATCATCTTATAATGTGTCTTGAAAATGAAACATAAAATACTTTAAAGATAGAAACATCTTCTTCTCTAGTTCCACACTTTGAAATGACATCTTTAAATTTTAAAATGTTACCTATAAATATTTTATACTATATATGAAAATAATGATAATGAGACTACTTCGAGTTAACTCGTTCTTAAGCTTCCTGTAATGCAAGTTTCATTTCTTTTCTTTCCTGAATGAAACGCTGGTATCGATTGACAACTGGTTTTCAACGCAACAATACCGCCTTAACTTTGAAATATCAATTATTAAGCTCTATCAAACGCTATTGTCAGTATACTACACACTCTCATCGTATTATTCGCTATTCAAGATGCATCAGCCATCGCTCAAGTTTTTTCGCAATTCAACATGTATTCGAGAATCAGTATAAATATATCCGCGCACCCGGTGTGCATCCGGTAACGCGCAAAACCATGCAGCACGAGTCATCCGCATATTAACCAGCTCCGGAGTCCTCGTTTCTCGGTTGACCGTGAAATCGGCACGTGAATCCAAAGTTGCCAAAACCGGCAAATCCCCTTCTCATCCTCTATTTTTCTCATCGAGCAATTCCCACCTATTTCCCACCTGTGGATCACGTAATCCGCGGAATCTCGCATTGACATAATCGATCTGACAGTTTGGAGCCACTCAAGGTCACAGCGAGAGAGAGAGCGAGAGAGAGAGCGAGAGAGAGCGAGAGAGAGAGAGAGAGAGAGAGAGAGAGAGAGAGAGAGAGAGAGAGAGAGAGAGAGAGAGAGAGAGAGAGAGAGAGAGAGAGAGAGAGAGAGAGAGAGAGAGAGAGAGAGAGAGAGAGAGAGAGAGAGAGAGATCGAGCGAGAGAGGAGGGACCGATATCAAATCCAAGAAGGGATGGAGGAAGAGGGGACAGGAAGGTCAAAGGGGGCTTGCGATACGACAGGTCGATAATTTAAAGGAGCGAGAGATCGCGGGGACCATCTCCGGATCGGCAGTCCCGATCGGAGTGTGTCCGTCGCGCGTCGTAGCGCACGCTGGTGGCAGCGACAACTCGCAAAAATAGCTGAGGCCTCCTCGCTGAGGCTGGCACACTCCCAACAGGCTATACTTGGACATACCCGCGCACACGATTATTTATAGTGAGCGCGAGAGCGCGGCCACTGGCCTTCTTACGAACTAACCAGCCGCGGCTACCAGCCGAGGAGACATTCCGCCGCCCGTGACCTAGGCCCGCATTAATAACGGGCTCCACCCTTGCCTCGCCACCACGAGGAACTTTAGCACTTTGCACTCGCCCGACGGGCGTAGCCCAGGCGCATCAACGCCGTCGCTCCTCTCCATCTCTCCATCTCCCCTCGTCCCCCTTGCGAACTCTCGGACGATGGACCCTTCCTCCGACAGACCCTCTCGTCTCGGGCTGTCGGCTCTCGCTTTAAGTCTTTCAGCGCCTAGTTCGCTAACTGCGAGATCCTTGGACCATTCACTCGTAATTCACTCGAGACCAGACCTCCCGCTTTTGGAGAGCCCTGAACTCTCGGAGGTGAAGCGATAAGAGCTTCTCTCCGTATCAGCGGCTTAGGATTTGACATTTTACGTACGTTGATTCCTATACATTTAAACGAATGTAGAGATCCTAGACTCAAATAGCGAAATCTATTTCTGACCGGTGCAGCAGGAGATTGTTCACGAGTGCGGAAACTAGCAGGTTATAAACAACAGCGAGCCTGAGAGATTCAAAGAGTGCGTGCAATTTGAATGAGCTACTAAAAATACCCCCCCATCTCTTTCTCGCGGGACGCCGGACGTGTTTCCTTATTTTCCTCTCGCTCGCCCAGCCGACCGACCAGACGACACGTCGTGAAAAAAAGTCGAGAGATACGAAAGTCACCCAGTGATAAACTCACATCTGCCCGAGATATTTTTATACAGATTTCTCTAGAGTATTTTCAATGTTAAGGTGATATATTCCGCGGCCAATTGCGCGTACGAGGTACCAACAACGCGCATCGAGGCTGAAGACGGCAGATGCTGAAAAATTAACCTCCAGCTGTCTGTAATAATTTTATTTGATTTCTATTACGTTTTTTTTTTTTGATTCGTTATTTGTCTAATTTGAAGACTTTCCAGCGGAACTCAGAAGCCCGTTACGAGGAAGTAGGACAAAAATGCTGCCGTGACGGCACGATGGAAAACGCAATCGGCTTTTTCCCATTCGCCTGATGGGAAAGCAAATCTCTCATTTGCAAGTGAATTGACGCATCTGAAGTTAATTTCTAATAGCGATTGATCCGCCAGCAGGTACGAGAAGGAAGAACTCGCGAAATCTACATCGTCAAATATAACGATAATTTCGATGTTATTGCACTAATTATATTCAGCTGCTCGTTTTGCTTAATTGCAATGAACTCGAAGAGAAACGGTTTATTATTAGAAATGATTTTGATCATTAAAAAAGCAAGGTTCTAACATTTTAAAGATTAGGAATATAGTGTTAGAGAGTTTCAACAATCAGAGTTTCTAAATATTCGGATATATCCAAAACCGATTTTGATCCGAAAACTTGAA